CAAATGAAAGTACATACCAATAGTCAGATCGTGAACAGGTTGAAACGTTTGTCGGTAAACTGAAGCAGAAGGCATGACTTCCCAACACCAGTGTCTCCAATAATGATGTATTTGAAGAGATACGCATAAGACATCCTCTGAAACGACAATATTTGCATAGCCAGCCTAGAAAACTAATTTCAATGCGACAGATCGATGCGAAGAGAGCCTCGGGAAAACAGGCAAAAACAGAATGGTTGGGAAGAAGATATCAACTGCCCGGAGATCAATGGTCATGGACAGTAGCTCGATAGTTCGGATCTCCATGGTAGCGAAGTTTTGCAATCGTATAATTTTTTCTTGTGATCTTACAAGTCTCAAGCTTTTGTCTTAAAAATCATGTTTAAAAATGTCCGAATCCTTCGCTCAAAAGCACTTTCCGTCACCGAGTTTGCCATGCTCCTTCTGGTCCAGCTTGTACCCCTACAACATGCAACTAGTGGTTTCTAGAATGCCCTCGATCACCTGAATAACCCGGACTCGGGAGAGTTAGCTTTCTAAGTGTATCAGCTTTCTAGAAAAAGTGCGAAAAGGAACGCGTAGTCTTGTTTGCCGCTGATCAAAAGACGTGTCAGGCGGGCTGAGTTTGGCTCGGCACCAAATCCATTTTCCGGTTGCTGTAACGACAAGACTGCATCATATCTTTCATATAGGTCGTTTTCCTCTTGGTGTTATCGCTCACTCACTTCAGCAACTGGTGGAGACGTATTTGCGCCCAGGTCATAGTCCGCCTGAAACGCCCCTTCATCCGCAGCGAAAAGACGGTATATCCAATTGCTAACGTTTTGAGTTATCCTTTCGGAAAACCCATAACAAATTGGTGCCCTCAGGGCAGAGCACAAGGAGCGCTTCGCGTAGACTAGAGAGGAGTCGCTATCTTGCACTGCAAGGTCTGCATAGTCCAAAGTCCAAGAAGGGTCCAATGATTGTTTTGAAGATGATTGTGTGTGATAAGGTGGAGTCCCCTCTTATATTCTTGGTTACGTAACCTAACAGTGTACAGCGCACGCTGAGATCCCCAGCGAGTCGCGGGAACGAGGGGGTCGTTCCTACTTCAAGAAGAGCGTTTCGCTTGTCGACTTCTCACGATTTTTCCCGTTTCTCGTTTCGCGCGGTTTACCCCCCTCCCCTCTCCCCGTGGTCGCTGGCGGTCCTTTTGGGAGAGAGGGGGTCGGACTGAGGAATTTCGCGAAGAGAAGTGAGAAGCTCGAGGGCTCTGAGCAAATCGCATTGCTGACAGTTCAATACAATCGTCAGCGCTGTTCGGCTAAGGAGAAGGACATTTTGCGTGCCTTTTCTGTAATTCCTATAGTTACATGTCTCGACTTATTCATCATTATTATTACTGAAACCCGCTTCACAGTATTTTACGGGTCTCCTTAGAAGGCATGGGCAGTACTCGATGGAAACGAAGAAAGTGCCCCACCAAGCCAATCTGCGCGTAATAGTCTTCGTTAAAGCTTGAAGGGGGCGATTTGAGTCATGATATTTCCGATCGATCGTCAAACATTCCTACGAGATCTTTGGGACTAACTAATTCATCACGATCATAGAGTAGGAAGTATGATCATAAAGTACTGTATCTCTCTGGACTGAAAGATTGGCCGATGTCGAAAACGTAGCTAGTCTTCCGGTGAGGTCACGCAGCTACAGTGGGTTTTCGCCGCTCTACGAGATCGTTAGAGTGATCCCGAAGCCTATTTTCAACGTGAACTATCGGTCTATAAAATATTTATTAGGTTGATTTAAGGTTTGATTAAGGTTTTATGACTTTCTCGCTTAGACAGTGCCGTTCAGTATTTTAAGAGCGTTGTTTCAAGAAAATTTCCTTTTTTTTCTGAATTACACATTCAGAGAACTGTTTGGTCCAATGTTGAAATGCAATTTAGTGATTCAGCGGTGTCAGTCGGTATAAAGGATAAAAGTTGATTTATTAGAATTTTTACTATCCCATCAGTAAGATATACGCTTGTGGGTTGACGCTGACCCCTATGGGGAGACTTGCGCGACTCCTGCGCACGTCCGGCAGTTGGTAGTGACAAATTACTAAAATTTTTAGCGAGCAGATCCATATTTCTACAATGCCAACGTTCGCCAGATTTGACGATAAATTTAGTCCGCGAACAGCCACAACTTTTTTTGAGCAGCCGCTGGAATGATGACGGCATAGTAGTCTAGACGTCATCTCCGAAGTTCGTTCTGCAAATTCGTGCAGATTGCAGCAAATTGAGCTGCCCTGGGGGTACATGCAATGCGAATGAGGCTCTAGACTTCTTTACTACCCCATTTCGAACACTGCAGCCCATGTCGAAATTGGTGACTTGCAACCGTACATATGAAAGTACTCATCCTAGAAAGGTCCCAGTTTTTGGTAGGTCAGGTGTTCATGTGGGAAGTCCTGACCGACCTCATCATGAAGGCTGGGTAACTATCCAGAATGGCATATTTGATGGGTAGGAACCTCTTGGCAGCGCTATAATCCACGCCCCGTCACACGTTCACAGAGATCCTCATTGTATTTATGCCCAGTGGTAGCGAACTTCCAGGTCAACCGAAATTTTAGTGGTTTTAGTGCTTCAGTAGATCTAAATGCACTTTCTGTGTTGCTACACTACTGCTGCCAACTTTTGCACGTTCACGAACGTCATAATCTCATCAGTTTCTCTTGTGATAATTTGTTGATGGGGGTACTACTAGCAGTTTCTGCAAGACCTTAGAGGAGGCGAGTATAGATAGGCTCATTTGAAGCCGCATCAAGTAGTAATGACTACAATAATGGTGGACATTGGCAGTAACGTTGGCAACATTCCGTTTACAAGTATTTTTTTTGCAAAAAAAAGTTAAAAAGCATTGTACCTTTGCTCATATTTCTCCTTAACTCAAGTTTTCTAACATGTGACAGACATCGCCTTTTACGCTGTAGGCGTGGAGCTTCACTTTACTTTTCCTTCTGATTTTTGAATGTTTGGAGTATTCACAGAGCTGAGAACTTTGAGCGCTGTTCGGCGTAGGAGGGACATTCTGCACCTTTGCAAGTTCCTCTTGCTAGTTCCTGTTAACTTACACGTCTCACGCTGGCGTGACCAATAGACTCGCCAAGGGTGAATGGGGATCCTGGTACTGCATAGCTTTGAAGGAACTCACAGATCTCCACTGAAGGCATAGGCAGTGATAGAAGAGAACAAGGAAAATGCTTCCACCAAGCCGATCTGCGCTAACTTGGTCCTTACTAGTATTTTCGCCTGTATGCTTGTTGATCCTTGGACCTTTTGCTGGAATACGGTAAGAGCAGACAACAAGTGGCTCCTGGTGTACTTTGTGAGCGTAAAAATCCCCGATTTAGCAGAATCGAATCAGTCGATTCATTTTTATCCCTTGCTTGCGATTCCCATTGTTAGAAAAACGTAAGCCGCGGCCTTAAAAGATATAAAAGCTGTACATTAGACACAATACGAAGATAGTTTTTTGCCAAGCGGTATAACTCAGTTTGGCGCTTCTATATTATTTATATATTATTATTATTATTATTATTATTTATTATTATTGTGTTTGATTATTATTATATTATTATTATATTTATTTGTTTTATTTTAACGCGAGTCGATTGCTGCTCCTTAAAAGCTCAGGCTCCTAGTGCAGACGACCAGTTCTACCGAGAGATGGTCCCACAGAGGTGACTTAGCTTCCACTGAGCCTGAGCCTTGATTACAAGAAGGAATACTGACTGACACAGCCAAGTAGTTCCCCCCACTGTTTGTGCCCTCAAGACATTCATTTATTATACTTTGAGGAGAATTTTGTTCACGATAAGCCGGCCATGTTAATGTTATGGTTTTTTTTGGTATTCGCACCATGTCATTTAGGATACATAACATGTTTGTTCCAGGAGTCGAGTTTGGCGCTCGTATGGTAACTATTGATGGAAAACAAATCAAACTCCAGATTTGGGATACCGCTGGTATGTACGATTTTATATTCCTCCTTTGTTTCTTTGTCCTTTTCCGGGGATTTAGGTACATCCATTTCGTCTTTTAGGTCAGGAATCGTTCAGATCTATTACTCGATCTTACTACAGAGGTGCAGCTGGAGCTTTGCTTGTTTACGATATTACCCGGTAGGTGATTTGCGAGTGTTGTAAATAAGGAAGTAGTTTTTTTCGTACCTTCTATAGACTGAATAATAACCAGCTCATTATGTATACACGCCACTTGACTTGTTTTTGTTTATGGAAATTAGGATTCCCTCAGGCTATCCACTAATGCTCACGCTCCTCACAGCTGTGAAAATCGTGTGCGGAACACATCACCTCACTCTCCTATGAATGAAAGGCCTCTCTATTCAGTACAAGAACTCAGTCCGAGACCATAATTTGTGGGCTTTGGTTCCAGTGCATTCCGGAATGACCCTTCCCTCTCCACCCCTCATTTGGACCTGTTCGGGATGCTTATTGAACAGTAATTGAAGGGAAGGATGGACAAAGCGTCAAAGATAGCCAAGTAAGCTCCAACACCGGACCAGTGTCCCACGAAGCGACGCACTGCTGCGGGGTGAGACAATACTACAAGGGGTGAGGGCACAAGAAAAAAGGAATTGGGAGACGAGTGGGACGACTGTCGGTCCCAGACAGAATGAGAACGCATTCTCACTTGTGTGCTATAGATTGGCATATATTGTCCCCATGTGGTTGAGGGAACTTTTACGGGCGGCGTACCATCAGCTTAGGATGAGCGCAATGCACTCGTTACTTCATGTTGAGCCGGTTGAGTGGGGCATTCTCTGGGATTGCGGACTGGACTACCTGTACAGGAAGAATTCCACCGACTGGGTAATCGCCAAATGTGTCTTGATGTCCTCTTTAGCCACCTTTTTTGACCACCTTTCACATAAAGCTTTAAGGCTACTACTTGTGTGGAAATGCCCTCAGTAGTCAATGGTTCCCTTTTTTGAGGAGTTTTGATTGTACGGCGCAATTCTGCTTGGAGCTAGGCATCCTGTAACTTTCTGCAAAACCCTGTGAAGCTCAGTAATGTTACAGATTCCATCTCTGCACCTTTTTAGCACCCATTATTTGGCTCGTCGCAGAGATCTTTCCCCTAGTTTTCCTCAGGACCGGATTCGTTTCTCCTTACCTTCATGCTTTGACCGTCGTAAATACAAAAGGTTAAAAAAGGAATGCTGTGGAAATGACGAACTATAATATCGTTTTATGGCTTTGGAAGGGTTTACAGGTCCCCATGAAATGGCTTGAACATTGGCGTGAACTTATTAGCTACCCTCCTCCCCCAGCTTGCCCATAAACTGAAGTGCACCGATCCTCAATAGTTTCTACCTTTGAATGTTCTTTAATTCAAAGCTAACAATTTTCTTCTGAATGAGAGTTTCAATTGGGTTGTACTGTTAGGAGGAAGCGTTAGGAAGGTCAACTTTGACTGATCCGAGGATTGAAGTGCTCCAAATGGTTGTATCTACAGTTTAATCATTTTTATTGCAGTCGGGATACGTTCAACCATTTGACGTCATGGCTAGAGGATGCACGACAACACAGCAACAGCAACATGGTGATAATGTTGATTGGAAATAAGAGGTACGAGGCATACTGTCAATTTCACCTTCGTTTTGTCGTCTGAAAAGGTCCGTCGCGGTATGTCAGTCGTTTTCAGTGATCTTGAAGCTCGACGTGAAGTAAAACGGGAAGAAGGCGAGGCTTTTGCCAGAGAACACGGGCTCGTGTTCATGGAGACAAGTGCAAAGACAGCAGCCAATGTTGAAGAGGTAATCAGTTGCTGAAGCTCGTAGTGAACAAAGTTGGAGGTATTCTAATCAATTGGTTTGCAGGCTTTCATCGACACGGCGAAAGAGATCTATAGAAAAATTCAAGAAGGCGTGTTTGATATAAATAATGAGGTACGTTAAACAGGACATATATGAGGTTTCGTGGGTGTAGGTTGTGAGACATCGATCCATCATTAAATTTGTGAAGCCGTAATCTGCAATATAAACCAGGCTGCCTATCTTGCCCGTTTCTTATTTTACATGGGACCATGTAGAAACTAGTAGTTGTGTAAAGAATTGTGAAGAAAAAAAGAATTAGGTCAGTGTGATAAGATCCCCTTCGTCTTGTTCGCTGGGACGTGTCAGCACGGCTGCGTTTGGCACGCTGCCAGACCGTTCTCCACCAATTGCTGATGACGCCAAGTCATACAACTGGCGCAAAATGACTGATACGAGCGATATGATACAGTCTTGTCGCATGCCGAAAGGGGAAAAACGGGTTAGTGCCTACCAAACTCCGCCCCGCTGACACGCCCCATCGTCATCCACAGCGATCGATACTGTACTTGCCTTGCAACCGTCTAAAACTGATGGCGGTCGAACTGCGACGTTGCAGGGCAAGCAGTAAAATGGGTCTAGAAGATGTCTTCGCTTCTGTCGCACAAGGCTCAGATAGAATCTCGAGGTTGTTCGACATCGGGGGAGGGGGGGGAAGTGGGAAGGCTTAGGAAGGCATGTGGAGATGTCCTTAAGCAAGCGTGGTTCTACCTGAAACAGAGGAGGGTTTTTGCTTCACCCTACAGATGGAACGTGCAAGGCGAACGGTGCTGGAAAGTGATTTAGCCGAAAGCGATAAAAATGAATAAGAGAAGTTTTGAATGCCACCCTCACTCTCGCACATTTCGATCCTTTCGAGAAGTCTCAAAATGGCTCGGCCATCGTTATTTGTATCTCATCTGACTAAACACCACCTCCCCTTTAGTGTTTCCGACGTCTCGTTGAGTGACTGATGAAAGTGCTAGTCGGTGTCTGGTCTTTTTATGGTACGCATCACATTCAACTTTTAGTTACATTACTGCTGTCCTTTGACTGCCCTTTTGCCCTTTGCAGTGAATTACAAAGTCAGTCGATACAAAAGAGTCTTTCTCCATTCCTTTTACCATCAGTTTCGTTCTACTTCAATCTACATTTAAACGACTACGAAGCCAATCAGATTTGGGGGGTGGGCGCGCGGGTGTGATTATGATTTACCTTAGACCATGGTCACGGTAGCGGCGTCAACTACTACTGCTCCAGCTCCGCTAGGCGTACCAGTATAGTAGTGCTACTCGACACTGGGTTGAGCGTAACGCACAGCATGTAATACTTTTGATTCTTTTCAATTTTCAGTGAGCTTTTCAGCTCGCCCTCGAACAGAATCCAGTAATTAAGCCCTCTCTTGGTGTAATTTGGTGCTCACTAGAGCTATGTAGTGGAACATAACGTGCAACTTTAGACATGTTGAGCAATGAAAGCTCCGCAGAATCCTACGCATCGATACTCTGGGGTCGAATATCTCACAATGTTCCCAGGCATTCTACTAAGGATACAGCATTAATATAAACCTGGCAATTTTTGAATTGAATTCCGATCTCTTCCACTGGCTATCGACGCGACATCGGACCACTTCTCATCGCTCTGGGAGACTTTTTGTAAAATCACGATCCTGAACACTACCATCCGTGCAACCGCCTATCATCAATCAAGAGAACGCTATTTTTTCTCGCCGGCACACTACGGCCTCCTCCCACCCTCCAAAGCTTAATAAGACCTCTCTCCGTCGCCTCGAAAACTCTCCCCCAACGTGCGCTGCTCTTCACAATTTTGTCATGCAACGCACTACGAAGCGCAACTAGTGTTTCGCAAAAAAACGTTCTGCATTTCTATCTTATTATTATCTTCTTGCATGTTCGAACATGCCTCTTTTGTCCAGACGATCTTTAGATTTAAAATCCTTTCCACCGTCGCGGTGCGCTACATGCACCGGTCCACCTCATCGCTCCTCGGTTTATGTACCAAGTTTTTGGTACACGATACCCCTTATTCCTCCCTCTGAACTCATGTCTGCTAAACTTCGCCCTCAAGCGGGAGCGAGAGGCCGGCAACCGGAGACCAGTACCCGGCACCGTTACCTATCAAAATAGGTGGTTTGCCGCGCAGCCAACCCAAGGGAGTGCTCTATACTTCCTCTTCGCATTACTGCATACCACGCACCCGTCCTGCCTGTTGTGATAAACTTTGCGGAATACTGACCCCTTCCCTTCGTTCCTTCAAAGTTACTCGTCTGGACCCATGACAGGGGGGGGAGCGGGGCAGAAAAGCGCAAAAAAAAGTCCAACCAGCTGAACACACATTTACTCACCGAGGTCACAACGCCACTTCCCTCGTCCCCCCCCCCCCGCGTACAAACCACGCCGCCTCCCCCACCCCCTGCTTTAGCGACCAAACACGCCCTCTTCGCTGGGGATCCAGAGCGTGAGACGTGCCCTAAGTCACGATCCCTCCCCCGCTCGCAGAGTATTACCGTGTTACCTGACGATGGTGAGCCGCGATCCATGCGGTCATTAGGACAGCTGCGCTGCGCCGTTTGTACCCAGAAGTGAGGTTCTTTTTAGTTCCTTCTAATGAATCGAAGTCGGTTGCTTGAAAACAAGGTTACCTTTGGCTACCATGGCTGTTGGTAGGTATAGGACAGCAGAGCCTGTTGGCTTTCATTTTTAAGGCTTTCATCTTCTTGGAAAATGTTCAGTCCACTGTTCCAAAAGTAACTTGAGCTTTTAGGCAAATGGAATCAAGCTGGGACCTCAACATTCGCCAAGTTCGCCGAATTCACCAGGTGGCAATGCGACAGGTGGATTGGGCGGATCCAGTGGTTGCTGTTAAGATGTTCTTAACCGACAATCAATGTCTTCAATTCAAAGTTTCCGACATCTGAAACACGTTTGTTGTTTCATGAAACGCTTTTTTTCGACTTTCTTTTTGTTTGTTGTGGTATATGAGATTTCCTATAATATCAATCATTTATTGCATGTTAATACAAGCTAGTCTTGAATTTCGCTTCCACTTGTCCATTTCATCCCCCCTTGATGCCCCCTCCTTCGATCGATCCGTATCGTCATCGTGTTCTTGGCACGCGCCATTTGATTTTCTTTTTCCTCCCTCATATGGCCAGTGATCGGCTCCTCCGTCATTGATCGAAATCTTTACTTTTGTCTCCCGAATTGATCCGGCGCATTGCTAGTTTTATAAATATGTCTTATTTTTACTTTTCCAATTGGTTCATCTACCGTTCTATCAGCGTGTGTGAAAACGTTTACACCTGTGATGTTCCGCGTTTATCTCATCTAGTACTGGCTATCGTGATATTGCGCGTCGTATAGTTTCAATTCAATCGTCCTTATTTCCTTTTTCCTTCCTTCCTTTCTTTTTTCTTCCTGTCGGTGCGTCATTTTCATCATTAATTCCATAAACGTTTAGTACTTTTGTAAGTGGTGCAGTTTTGTCTGTGTGTGTGTCCATGACTACTTTATGAAAGAGGGGGGACGTTCGCGAAATCGATGCATCCGCTGCTCGGAGGGAATTGCCTAATGAAATTGGCCGCAAATGGATGCCGTCCCCCGTTCGACGGTCTTTTCCACTCGGAGAAAAGAGCAGATTTGGACAATCGAATTAATGAAGAGGATTGAGAATGAATGGAGGATAAATGTGAGAGGTGATGCTTGGAAATTGATCCGAAATCTACGTTGCTTGTAAATAAATTTCTATACGCTTTCTTTTTTGTATGGACTATTGAAAACTGCAAAGTCAGCGGTGATACCTCGAGTGTTTCGTTGAAGGTGATTGCCGCCGCAAATTTTCTCGTTCTTATCAGTCAGGCCATATTTTTGTGATGATTCCGGGGGGGGGGAGTTTCTTTTTTTTGCAGTGAGATCTTTGTTTCTTTTATTTCAAGAGGACTGACGTCATTTCTACCGAATATAAGTTGGGGGATGGATTTTCTGCTGTTTGGCAGTAGTAATCGACATGAGAAGCTTTTCATGTTAATCAAGCCGTTTTGGGGATGCGCCATGCATTGCGCATCTATTCAGGAATCATGGTAGCTTTGGTAAGTACGATTGTGGCCGTAAGAACGCCTGTAAAAAGCTAGCGTGAAGTGTTCAGGGTGATTGTTTTCAGTACAAAATCCCCATTGCCAATTTAAGCGATCTGGAAGGAAGAACTGGCTTTGGTTGGCCCGCATTTTAGTTTTTCCTTTGATTTGACCGCGGCTGTGTATATATGGGCATGGATATCGGGGGCCAGTCATTCCCGACACCAACGCCCGTTTCTATGGCCATTATAACCGATAGCTGCTCTCGCAAGCCAAGATTATCTGGCCTCTTTGGGAAGTGGTGGGTAGCATACAGGACCAAGCGTTACTGCGGTGGAGGGATATCTAACCGTGGGGAAGTTTGTATTTCGGGTTTGCAAAGGCGCGTGGACATTTTCTGTGATTGATTCTGGGAGAGGGACGGGCACATCATTTTGTTTGGGGAATTTGTCGAAGTCTGTACGACCCTCCTGAAGCCTGGCTCGATACGGGGAAGGGGGGGGGGTATAGGGTATATAGGCACATGTAAAATAGGGCAAAAGCTGCGAAGGAAAATACGACGCACTTCTTTGGCTTCTAAACCATTTTTTTTCCCAGTTTTTCCAGGAAATTTCACGGAAAATTTACATAGATTTTCTCCAAATTTTTGAGTTGATTGGGGAGGACTGGGGGTGGGGGGAGTGAGCAACCAACAACTAGCTTCAGCTAATCGAGAGATAGTAGTTGTATAGAACGCTGGCGGCTGCGCGGTACCAATACACCGGCGCGCCACCAACCCTCGCCCTCCCCACGTCCCTCTCGCACGCTCCCAGACGTTCTGCCGGCAGCGGTTTTGGCCTCTCCCAACAGCGAGGCAAATACGACGCGCCACCCCCTCCCCCTCATAGCGTTCGTGAAACAAGGAAAATCAACCGTCAAAAAATTTTCATCAGACCAAATACCACCCCTCCTGCCAGCGACCAAATACGACCGCCTCAGAACCCCAAATCGAATGTGTGGCCTGCAGGGTGGG